TCCATATACTTAATCCACGGCGACGGTGCGGCGTAATCAATATACGGTTCAAACTGTAATTGTCAAAAAAAAAAAAAAAAAAAAAACTAAATGAAAAAATGCGTTCACAAATACAGTACAAGTATTATTAACTATTGGTACGTTATTACGTTTATTTCAAGTCAAGTTTTACGCGTGTAATAATATGTTTTGAAATTGATTTGATGCTTCGGCGTCGAGTTTTATTCCTACCGAAAAATCAAACGTTTTAACCGTTTTCCGGGACACGTGTTTTACTGTTGCTTGTCTGCAGGCGTATATTGTGGAGAGAGAAACTCGAGATTGTTTGAATCATCTCAAAATGAATAAAGAAAAATATTTCAAAATGTACCGGTACTCATGAAATTGTATACCCGGATATATTTCGCAGAAAACAAATAGCTTAATATACTGCTGATCGGTCTGCTACTGTTGCACGCGGCAACTTTGGAAAGTAGTACAAATTATTGTGAACCACGTGTAGAATTTCAGAGCATATTGTTCTGAGTCGAATACATTAAATCCGAATAAAAAATAATACGCGAAAAGTAGTTTTTTACAATTTTAATAAAACTTTGAATTTAATACGCGTATTAAAAAAAATGGTTATTAAAGATTTCTGAAATTGTGTAGCGACATAAGAACACATAAAAATGAACCTTGTATACAATTATTAAGTATTTTTTTGGAAAATCAAAAATGTTTATCCGCGTTCAAAAAATTGTCTAACTGTAATAAATAGCTCGACAGTATTCAAAATGTGATTTTACCACGTCTAAAAAGCGCCAATAAAAATATCCGGTAATAATGTCAAGTCTCAATAATGTTTTTTTTAACTAAAAATAACAAGAACCTTTATTTTTCCGTCTTTTTCTATTATTGCTACAACAAAGAAAACCAAAATATCATGTTCTTTGCGATGCACCAACTTGACAACATTTTCTATATAAAAGCTCTAGTTGTTGGTTTTTTTTTTTTTTAATGGGGACAAAATTTCTGATACTTAGAAGAAGTGTTGAGACACACAAAAACAAAATCGTACGTAAATATATAAAAACACACGTTCTTAGTAGCTACGGCTAACGCTACGTTCAGAATGTAAAACGGATTTATACAAGTTTATCATATTAACATGACATATACAGTACTCAGGTATCAATTATTCATATGTTCTTTTCGTTTGTTTGTCTACAAACTATACGCATTTATGCGTCACAGCTTGAAAAAGCTCTGAACAACATTATTCGGCCGAACCGTAAAGCTCGAACGATATTTCGATAACAAGTAGGGTGAAATCGATTGAAACGCTAAGCCTCCGCCCTCCCCCCCTCCCCACCCACAATAACGTTACCGAGTTTCATCCGTCTAGGTTGTTAACAACTGGTAAAAACGCCAGCGTCGTTGCGCGTACGTACACCGCCCCGACGATTAGGGTTTTTTAATGGCGCGGCCCCGGCGTGTTTGTCCGTTCGGCTATAATTCGCGTTAATTGCAAAATTTTGTACATTTTGCGAAAACGATTACTACTAATATAATATAACACACAATAACAGAATCGCCGAATATCATATTATATATATGTATTCGACCCGGATTCCGGGGTCGCCCGGTGACGGGGACGGAGGGGGGGCGGGGCGGGGGCTCGTCGCGGGGTTCGGTTTCATTGTGCACATACATAATGCCTACAGCGAATTCGTATTATTTTCCAAAAATATTGTTGTCGGGTACGACGTCCCCGTAGCATTGTCTTGAGGACGCGGCGCGCACAAAAGAAAATGAATGGCGTCGGCTCCCCGTATAATAATAATATAATATAATAGTAGCGGAGCGTTTCGCGGTTCATTTATACGATCCGCATTCACCTGCCTGACCTATACATTTTCGTTGCTTCCATTTTAGCGCGAAGCTTTTCAAAAGACCGCGGGTTTATATTCATATACATATTCTTAGCATGCCGCCGCCGCCGCCGCTAATTGAAGCGCGTTAATCGACTAAGAAATTATTAGAATACATTGCGCGGCGTAAGTATTCGCTTGCAGTCGGCAAACGCGTGTGCAATAATATTATAATTGCTTCGATTCTCGAGGTCACTTCCTGCAGCTTATACAACCGTTCCGCTGCGTTATACGAGTACCACGTCGGTACGTCGTGTCGTGTGATTTTGAACGTGGGCGTGGCTTTTATTACGGTTACTATAACTGGTAACCGCCTACTACTAGCTATACCCGTATATATACACAATTATACAAATAATAAAAAAAAAAAAACCACTGTCTGATAGAGTCCTACGCGTGGTATAAAGTCATACACAGGGTGTTCCGCGAATATATACCCATTGTAATATCTCCGGAGATATTTATGATAATCGAATTCTGTTTTTTATATTACTCACCGGGATAATGACTAAAAATGCTTATATGGCAATTAATTGTTTATGCTTGATAAAAAAAAACTTATAAAATTGCTCTGTATGTTATTATTTTTGAAAAAAAAAAAAAATTGAAGATAGCTATTTTATAGAGTTTATTTTTCTGAACATTTTTATGTATTTTTCGATTAATCATTGAGCCCATAAACGTGTTTCTTAGATGAACTTTAAAAATCACCCTTCTCCGCCTCGTTTCCCATCCCACACCCGGTATCTTGTCACGGATTTACCCCTGGCTCCACTTACACATTTGAAGTCTATGAACATAGATGTGATACGTTGCGCTTTATGTGGAATATGGCTATGGAGAACCGGAAGTACGGTAAACGAAACACGAGATAATTATACTGCAAGTTGGGAGAAATAAAGCGTAAAAAACGAACCGTGAGACAATACGTGTGTGAGAGAATTCGTGGCACGCGATATCGTTTTTACCGCCGTGAACCGCCTGTTGCAAACCACCTTGCGATCGGCATATTATATCGCACTCGACCCCTTTACTTTTTCTTGATGATTCCGGACTGCAGTTGTCAAAGAGAGACCCACCTCTCTTGTTTCTCATCCGATTTCACGTTCTTATTTTCATACCCGAAACGGTAACGACTAACAAGTCGACAACTGATATGCTGGATATCTTCAAGTCTTGTTACAAAAAAAAAATAAACCGATCTGCTCATAGTTGAAATTTCGTCTCCAATGAGGGAGATTTTCTTGATAACATTTTTTCAAATCATCGGTTAACGAGTTGAAACTTAATTTTACATAAAATTCCTGTGCAATTGTGATTTGTGTTTATCGTACGCAGGTAATCACCATGATTTCTAGCGATATGATCTTTATGCGAAATGTTAAAGTCACCGTTGTAGTGCTGTTAAAGTGTATTTACATAGGTATTTATTAATAACAATGGTAAAAAAATCAAACTGGGAATATTTGTTAACGTTCCTAATATTGTGGGTATACTCAAGAATCAAAGAATAAAGTAAACCTGGGACTTATGGTGAATTGAAGATCAATAATTATACGATCAATGAGAAGATATAGACGACAACATTCGTAAATTTGAGTCAAAAGTCATCTATGAAGATGATAAAAATCTTAGGCATGTTGAATGGAGAGAAGCATCATGTAAGAAAAAATGGAGAGGTATTGTAAAAGCGCAAATGAGCCAAAAAAAGAAAGAAAGAATGAAGTTATAAAATAATGATAAAGATTATTATTCTTGAAAGATGACACATAATAGTACTTGTCGGATAGAGAAAAAGTTCCCGTCGGGGAACATTTTTTCCGGGAATTTCTTAGCCTGGCGATTATTTTAAGTACGTTTGACTTCGGAATTCGAAGTGACCGGAGCTAGAAGCGCAGTGCTGTATTGATTTCACTAGACGATAAAAAAGCATAGTTTGTATTTTATGTTGAACTTTCTTATATTTTACCCGAAAAAAACCGATATAAATAACTGGAAAATGTACACAACACTAATTTGTGTCAAAATCAATTATTATTTTGCTTTTTTTTTTTTTTTTTTTTTTTTTAATATATAAAATAATCGGAGAAACCTAAGAATTTTACAAATTATATGTATTTATTACAATATCAGCATTCACACGACTACCGATTAGTTGGGATCAGTTAAAAAATACTGGAAATTTTATTACGAGATTTATCACAGAAGTACTATAGGTAAATAAAAACAATAACAACAAAAAAAAAAACGATTGAGCTTGATTACATATTTTTTCTTTTTAAAGTTTGTTGAAAATCGTTAAACAGACACGGAAAACCGTGTTAGTTATTTTTTAGATCAAAAGTAATAGGTACACAGTTTTATCGATTTATATGTATACTTAAGGCGAAACAAATACTTAACCGAATTCCAGCGTAGCCCGCAGAATCGTATTTTCTTTGCAAACATTTACCGCGTTGCTTTTTGAGTAAATAAAATTAATTACCTGTTTATCGCTTATACCTGCCCTATTCTTTTTCCATTTATTTCTTTTTCGTACGTACCGGTAAAAACTTTCTCGCGTATAATCGCCTTTAGCCGATGCATTGAGTTGTACATTTCCAGTCAGAAGCCGTTTCGCTGACCGATTAACTTCGATTTACGGTTTACGATTATTTTTTTTTTTTTTTAACGCGTCTTATTTCGTAGACTACATCGCCGTTATCTAGAATTTTTATATTATCGACAACGCTCGTGTTTATGAACGGTTCACGGATACGCAATCAGTTTCGAACCGATTCCGGTGTATCGTGTACCCATATACTATACAGGAACAACCATCAACGCGTAATATATTCTAAATTATGAATAGCGAAAACAAATAAATTTATGTTTGTCGAATTTTCTCCGAAAAGAAAGACTGTGTACAACCGTATTATGTATGTTATACATTATGTATACTAGCTCTCTCACGCGCCCGGCGTAGCCCGTGCCAAT